ACTTCTCGCGCAGCAAACTGTTTGCGAGGATTAACTTGGTAATCCTTTAAATGCAGGCAGAATAGGACGCGGAAAGATTCGAAAGTGGAGGAACTAAATAAATCGGACGACGTCCTTAGCACGCTTTTATCCGCGTGAGCCGTCGAGATTTATTAAACCTGTATATACTTCCACATCTACCGCCTTAAGCTTCGATACGGTTTATTTTACTCCGGCCAGCAAGTTCCCTGAAATTCAAGCCAAACAAATGAGTTTCATCGCTGTTCAAGAAAAACAGATAGTTTTTTTCTTTTAGAAGTAGGTTGAATATTGGGTTAAACTATCATACAATATTCATCTTCAATGTTTCGATCAAAGTAATAACATGTTCAATTTTTCTTTCCGCTCTATATGAAATCATATTATTTGATACATTCGATAAAGAATTAAAAAATTTAAGTTGTTACTCTTAAGTCATTAAATTGAAAAATTATAAATAAAAATGCAAATAAAATATAGTAAATAATTTGTGAATAATTTGATATCTTTCATAAAACACACGCAACAATTACATTAAAAAAAGCAAACATTGTTTTAGAATTACTTCAAAATTATTAACATTTTTTATAAATATTTGTAATTTAATCATATAATAAAGCAATTTTACCACGATTCTTATTGATTTAATTTATAAAATTAAAAATAAGTTTGAGATTGCAAGAAGATATAAAAGCGAAATTGATATCTGAAAATGTTGCGATCATTATACAACGCCGATACTTTGTATTGATTGTCAGATATTGAGAATTTCCCTATTATATTTTTCTATGAATGTATTATCAACTAAAGAAGAGATGCTTCCATCTTTTCAAATATCATTTTTATCAATAACGTAAAGAAATATTTTATATATTGAACATATACACACAAGTGTATATTATATAAAAATATATTTTTACATTAAGAGAAAGTATTTTATATTTATATAATATCTTTTTTGTACCAGAACCTTATGGCGGATATTTTTATATTATAACTTCTAAAGAGGAAACATATGATATCCCTTAATAAAGTAATTTTTTTAAAACTTTGTTTAAATTAAATATATTACGTCACACATGTAAAGATAAAATTTAAAAAAATAACAATTTGCTCTTTCTTTCTTTCTTTTTTTTCTCATTATTGCATGTGATTCAATATCTGAGAGACGAGGAAAAGCACACGTGAAAAATTATCTGTAATATCATACAGATGATCGTAAAAAGAAATGAAAGGAACGCTGATCGTCGCCGAAGATAATAGCGAGTGGAAGTATATGCGATATGACGTGGATAAGAACCATTATTGTAATATGTTCATATCACGTTTGATTTTTTATTGTGACATAATTTAGAAACTTATCAAGTGAATATTTTATAAGATTGTTGACACGTAACAAATTAAACGAGTCTTCAGATAATATCCAGTGTGTATAATATTGTATTATATGAATCGAACGTTTGTATTTTCAGTAATAAATAAAATTAATTGAAAACAAGAAAACACTTCCGCTAATTTTTCGTTAATGAAAATTTGGTTAAATATTTTTATATAAATCTTTAGCATCCCAGTTTAAAAATATTGTATAAATAATTTATAAAATAAAATATTTGTGTGTGTGTTAAAATCTACTTTAAATTTGATTCTAAATTAATCAATAAAATTATAAAATATAGTTAACAATAATAACAAGAGATATCATTCAATACGTCGTTTATATTAAATATATTTTATAACTGATAAGGAATCATACGTATTTCACGCACAATTTAAATTGTTTTTTATTCAGTCGCAAGTCGCGCTCCTTGTTTCACTCTGGAAATTTAATTCTCAAGAGAACTGAGCGGATGCTTAGCTCGCTCGAGTAATTACGCGCGGCTGATGTTAATTATCCAGCACGTGCGTTATATGCGCGAGTACTATAAAATCGGGCGATCGATTTAGTTGAGACGCCAAATGATCCCCAATGGAGCAAAACCAACTCTAGCAACACCATTCTGCTGGATATCGCGTAATTATCTAGACAAGGTAGTACGCGCGCGCGAAATGTCAGGTTTTATGGTAATTGTCTTGGTTCGTTATCTGTTCTCGGCGACATCGTTCCGGGCAACTTTAAGGACAAGCTTTTAAGAGAAGGTGTCTCACAGTTTTTTAATCGCTTATAAAATTTTAAAGCTATCAGTATCTCTCGATATAGTCTCGTTAAAATAAGATCGATTTCAAAAATTCAGAGAATCGATCGTATCGAATTTAAGATCGCTAATCGTGATCATTCTTTGTTTTACATAGAGCTAGTTTACTTATCTATATAAGATGCATCCGGAAGCTGTATCTTTGCTTTTCCTCGATTAACGTTCCTACACCTTTTATCACGCGCATCGAGGAATACGTTGACAAAGTTGCGCATAAATCGCGGCTAAGTACGCCTTAGCGTGGCCGATACACGCGCCTTGGCCATAATCCGTATTAATCGCCGACCATTCATTAGGAAGCCAGCAGTGGGTGCCGCGTAATTCTGCACCTGGCGCACCCCCGCGATCAATCGCGCGCGCGAGCGCGCGTTCCTCTCTTATCATAAATCTTGCCACTAAACTGCCGCTATACTCTCGTAGAAGGCAATGACCAAGTAAGCTCGACATTTCTATAGAGTAGCTCGAACAAAACAAGCGCAGTCATGGCATCTTCTCCGTGATCGAAGACGATCGAAGCAAACTCTGTTTTACTAATTGTAAGATATAATCACTACGAAACTTTTTTTCAGTTGAGTTTTTCTTTATGATTTCTATAGTACTTAGAAACACAGTCTTTAATCTGCATTTACAATAATTAAATGAACATTTGCGACTTTAATAACTTGGACTGATGAGATTTGAGTAAATCATTTAAGTATAGTAGGAAGAAAGAATTTTTAAAAACCTGTATATGATAAATAAAAAATATAATATAAAACACAGCTTATTTAATGGTTCTTATTTTAAGTATCGTTCGAAACATACGTCTTCCTATCGGAATCCCTAGAAACAAATTAAGTGGCCTAGTGAAATAGCTCAGATACCTCGGGTTCGCTAAGCCCGTACTCACCATTGTGAGTTCGTGACGGATTAAACGTCTCTTATCAAACATCTTATAGATAAAATTGTATTGTAATAAACTTTTTTTTTAAGTAAAAATGAAATAAACTATTTTGCATAAATTTATCGATATTTATATAGAAAAGTGGACACAAGAAAAAATAAAATTTTATTGTTTCGATTTAATGACGTCAAAGAGAGAGAGAGAAGGGGAACGCGCGCACGTTCCTTGCATTCTAAAAACTTAATACATCTGTTTTATTTTACTCACGTTCGAAACTTTCTTCCCGTCTTCTATCTCGTAGTTAAGTGTCAAGATCTGCTCGTTTTGAATTCATCGTTCGCGGCGTCGCAAACAACTCTTTATCCTACTCAATGGGGATACTTAATCGGATTTTGAGATTCCGCTCGAGAAAGAGACCTTCCGGTGTCACGGGTTCGCTCACTCCGTTATTTTCCATTTTCCATTGTTATCGCGCGACGAAACAAAGGTAAGCTCGGTCGCGCAAAAAGACTCGTAAGATGGGATTTAATGGCATTGGCACCTTGCCAAATCGCGCCGAGGCGAGGGGTCGAAATGCACCGATTGAAATGTTCGTTACTGCCGCAAATCATCCCTCGGAAGGAAGAACCGGCTGTGTACTATATATCCGCCACTTCGTATCTCTTTCAGTTCGCTCAACTGCGCCAGGAACGGATCGCCGCAATAAATCCGCCCGCGTCGATTTTTCTCTCGAGAGGCGCGTCGCTTCCAAGATGATAGGTCGGGATTCACGGCGCTTATTACTATGATTCACAAACTTACGAGAGAAAACTTAGAAATCTCATCTCACTTATCACATTTAAAAAAATATGAAGATTATATTATATAATTTCTGTTTGCTTAGGTATTATTAAGAATTTGTCGTAAAATATATTAACTCATAAAATATATCCGTTATTTTAAATAATAAATGTGTATTTATATATATTTCTATTTGTATTTATATGACGAATTGTTGCTGGGAAATAATCATAATATCAGGTCTACCGGAAAGTTCTGTCCGTTTTTGGAATAAAACAAAATACAAATTTTTATTACCGTCAATAAACTTTATTAAATAATGTAATTGCCATTATTCGGAGAAGTATTGTCAGCAACTGGATAATTTAAATACAGCAGTCCAAGAAAAGAGGCCGGCGATGTACAATAGGAAGAACATCATACTGCATCATGATAATGCCAGGCCACATGCTGCTTTGGGGACTCGTCAAAAAAGTGCAGAACTAGGCTGGGAAATTCTGTCGCATCCACCATATTCCCCGGACTTAGCACCCACCGACTATCACTTGTTTTTGTCCTTACAAAACTTTTTGAGGGGCAAAAAATTCAAAAAGGAACAAGATATCAAACAAGCACTGGTTCGCATCAAAAGATAAAACATTTTTCGAAAATGGGATATACAAATTGCCCTCACGCTGGCAAGAAATCATTAATAATAATGGCAATTACATTATTTAATAAAATTTATTGACGGTAATAAAAATTTGTATTTTGTTTTATTCCAAAAACGGACAGAACTTTCCGGTAGACCTAATATATACATATCTTATTAGTAAGAATTGATCATTGTCAATTTTCATTCACATCGTCTTATAAAAGTGAAAGCATTAATAGTAAATATTATATTAATAGTTAATAGTTTATTCTTTTACAACAGGGTAAAAAAGGTTTATTAATTTTAACGGAATATTTTTATCCTTTAATCGAATTTTCTTCATAACATTTTCTTGTACTTCCAATAAAGAGGAAAGAGACTTTCTACTTATCTTTTAGTCCACGACTTAGCCAATTCACTAAGCGAGTCTATAACAAAAATTCGTTGCGGCGAATTGATCGATTTATAGACCGGTGGCTCTTTTCTGTTCCAGACAAAGCCCCTTCGGAAGCGTCCTTTAGAGGGACCGAGTACCTCACGATAGATTTGAGCAAAGGAGAACCGGTGCTCAGTACACAGGAATCTATAAGCCTTCAGTTCAAAACGAGACAGCCAAATGGACTTTTATTTTATTCCGGTAAGTATTTCCTATATCCTTCCTGCGGCGAATGACTTTCTTTTGTTGATCATAATAACTTCCTTCTAAGTGACAATTTTATTCTCACTTTAGTTGCCAAATTGAAAAAACAAAGTCAGAGACAGAAATTAGTTGCAATTGGAAAAATAGATTTTTGACAACTGACGAAAAAAATCGTATAATCAACAAATATTTAATATGAAAATTTTGAGCATAAAATCAAAAACGTAAAAATAATGATTGAAAATATGATTTGGATACACAAAATTGTTTAAATAAATTTTCGATTCGCAGCAAATATTTTCATTTATTAACAATAGAAATATGCAATGTCATTGAGTTAATATAACAAATTAATTCATTATATATAACAGAAAATTCACAATAATTATATATATATATATTATTGTGAATTTTTTGTTCTGGAAATAGACAATCGATCTTAGAAGCGCACGATTAATTGAAAACAATTTGAGAGGGTCTACAATGGAGTCGCATTTAATCGAGTGACTTACGGACGGCCGGATATCCTTCGAGAGAATGCGGACAGACAATAGTACCATCTTGGACAATGGTCGCATATTAAATCTTTGCGATATCTCCTTCTCTCGCGACGACATTATAGCCAATTAGGACGTTCCAGTGCTTCGGTTCCCGGATGTGCGGCAACCAGAGGAATTTTCTGTCTCTCTCTCTCTCTCTCTCTTTTCATTTATCTATTCTTATTATACTTTCTCTTCTTCTTTTATTTTAGCAGGATATGGTAATGGCTGTTGGTTGACCTCAATTAATCTTGATTTCGAAAATGTTAACTTAGAGTTTCCCGAGCAGAATAATGCATGTTGTATCTCAACTTAAATTACCGAAAATTATTCAAATTATTTATCTTTAACATTCTGAAAGCAAAATTTCATATCTATAATTATTTTAATTATATTTAATTTTAATATAATTTCAAAAACATGTTATCTTAAAAATAATAAGAAAAATTTTTTAACTTTGCGCTACATGAAAATTACCGTTTATTTTATCACAAACGTCGTAAAAAAATAACTCTTTTAAGTCACAAGTGTTTGAAATTATTACAAAAAATAAGAGCTCTTTGCAGAAAATAAATAAAGAAAAGAAGAAATTACGAAACCTTCTTATTCTATATAGTTAATTTAAACTTTAATAAAGTGAGTTTTAATTTAAATTTAAAAAGTTATAAAACTCTCTGCAAGAAACACATAGGTTGCGTTTGATCAAATTTTTGCTGGAAAGAAATCAAGTTGGAGAAAAAAATAAATAAATAAATCAAACCGTGATAAAAGTTTGATCCCGCGCTTGAGTTTCGATCAGATTTCTCAATTATCTCGTTTCTTTATTATACCCGCGTCGCTTCTTCATTTATAGTGCCATATCACGGTTTCCTTCATCTTATGCTCCAGATGCACATGCACACCTCCAGTTTATAGCATACTTACATAATGAACGGTGGGGAATCAGCGCAGCCAAGACGGCAAGACTGCACCATCCGCAGTAAAAGGAGGAGTTTGCACCTCCGCTCCGGTTGCAGCGGCAACTCGAAACCTATATACCGCAGCCGCAATGCTGTACCACCCATACACGATGCACACACACACACACACACACATATACATAGATATATATATATATATATATATATATATATATATATATATATATACACACACACATACACATAGCACTTGTTTCACCAGCTTGCATCTCCTTGCGGCAAGCTCGCACCAGGCCGCTCATTTGTTCTCGAGATAAGCCGTAATACAGCCGCGGCTATGCACATTCGGATTACGTGTATTTTCACGGAGGATAATCGTCGTCGCGCGACTTTACATTTTTCAAAATCGCGGTATCGCTTTGCAAGAGAATATCCATGCAAAATAGCTTCCTTTGAAAACGTGTCTGACCATCTCCGTCTTTTGCTACTTGCGCTCTCTCTATTTTCGACTGGCTCGCGTGGCGAGCCGCGATGCGTTAAATCCGCATCGAAATTGTTTCGCCCGCTTTCGCAATAACTATCTGCAACATGATCGTGTAACGATGTGTTTCTAGAAAATATAACGAAGGGAAAATATGAGGTTTCGTGAACGGATACCTCGTTAGTGGAATAATTTCAGAATAAATTCGCGCACAACGAGCTAATAATAAATAATCGAATTTCAATATTAACACAATATTATTGCTGATATATATCAACGATATATTTTCATTTCGATTAATAATACATATACACGCGTAAACGTATTGGCGAATGTATAACAACTATCTTTAACTTTGAAAATTAAAATTAGAAATAATTGTATCAATGATCAAATATTTGCTAAAAAATGTTTTTAGCGCGCGTGGATTATTATTATTTAGGGAAACGGGTATCTCTCATATATATAGGAACGTTTTAATCAGTAATGGATTTAATCAATGATCTCGACGGAAGCTCGCGTTGCCGATTTCTCGCATCCGCCCCGCACGGGCGCTATCTACGCTAGTAACGCGTGTTATCGCGTTTGTTCTCGGGGATAGCGATCCGCGTATCACGCAAATAAACAGGACGCGCGATAGATACGCGAGCGAAGAGCGCGATACCGCGCGTAATGCACTTACAATTAAGCGCATGCTAATGCGCCGCGCCGGCAGCAATTAAGTCCGAAGTGCCGTCTGCATCTTTTATACGCTCCGGTCTCCGGTAGCCGTCCCTCCCCCTCCTCCCCCGTCACTCCCGCGAGATAATTAGCATGCGGTCACGGCCCGATTTTAAAGCGACTGCGGCAATATCCGACGTTGGCGTTTGCGAAATTCACGAGCGCAATGACACGCCCGCGCATCTCGCGCGATGCGTCCCAAGTTTCCCTCCTCCCGTCCGCGACGAGAATTATGATCTTTCTGCTTTTTAGGGTCGAGGTCCCTTGCGTTTTCACTTCTTTATTTTTTGCTATGTATGACTGTGTGAAAAAGAGAAGATTGAGAATGAATAAGGATGAATAAAAATTATGCTCGCGCGAGCACAAACAATCCTTTGAATTCTGTAAATTCAATCAGATGCAATAGATTGGAAAAAGTAAAATACTGCATATAAATTTGTTTATCACTGTATATATGTATATATATTAAAAGAAATTTTTATAAACAATTTTTGTTTATTTTTTTTAATGAAAATAAATGTAAAAATAATAAATCACTCTTCGCTTCTTAATTTACTTCCGGCTTTCTACGAGAGAGAGAGAAAATATAATTGTTTCAAATATATTAGCCTAAATGATATCTGATATAAATTGTATAAACGTTTTCCCCTCTATATATCGCTGACGTTTAATTGCAAAAATATACTCTCTTTCTCCATCAGCAAAATCGTCTTAACTGTCCAACTCGTTACGAACCGAACAGCATAATCCGCAAGGATTTCCGGTCGAGGCTGGCACGATAATTATTAACGACAATCGCCCGACGTTTTAAACGATCGCGCCTGGACACTAAGTGTCCCGAAACTAATGGTTAAACGGTCATAATCGATTTATATGCATCGCTTCGCGATATAATCCGGCGTGCGAGCTCGACGAAAAATAAAGCGAGCGAGGGTAATCGATGGACGCGGTGTCGCCATGGGGATTAAAAAGTTGCATCGGAATCCGCGTGCGTGCATTGCAAAATTTTTTTTTTTCTCTCTCTCTCTCTCCCTGTGCAATGCGTGCGACGTTAACGCGTCAAAAGGGATTGCACTCAATGGACAGTAATGTCCCGGTCGCGTCAACACAGATGTCCGCGACTAAAACGACGATCCGTGATGGACCGAAACGGGAGGCTGCGAGCGTTTCCGACGATCTCGCGTCGCGGCCACTGTCACGTTAATTCAATAGCGCGTTTTATCTCCGCTTTTGAGAGCGAAATAAGGGTCTATTTGCGCTCGCGCTCGCGCGGCACTCACCGTGACTTCATTAGTCCCGTTTTTAATTGCAGGAGAGGGTGATGATTATCTCACCGTGTCACTGAGAGACGGAGGCGCCGCGGTAGGAATGACACTGGCAAAAGGAAGATTGGATCTGCATATAAAACCGGCCAGGGTGCGATTCGACGATAATCAGTGGCACAAGATCGTCGTCCACAGAAAGGTCCAGGAGGTAACGATCATGTTTCTATATTTTACTCGAGCAAACGAAATAAACAGCAAACATTGATTACGAAATTAAAACATTAGAATATAATACGGAAATGAGTTATATTGAGATAGACAGAAGTTATACGATATTCAGGACAAGCGTTTGATATCCTTGTCCTGAAATCCATGGGTATACGTACCACTTTAGTCTGTCTTCTAACTTTAAAAATCCAATTTTAACGACCGGAAAGTGGAAAATCCGATACCGTCCGGACGTTGAAGGCGTTAAATTTTCACACCGTCGCGATCCAAATGGATCAGCGAACGGACGTGGAGCAATTTCGTTAATGCCAGTGAGTATACACCAATATTCATCGTGCATTACGCGCAGTGGATAGAATAGATAACGCAATTATATTTGCGCGTCTCCATCGCGCGCGAGTTTCGCGAACTGCGGAACGACATGAGTTTATCGGTTTATCATCACCAAAATATCGGCACCTCTCGTTGAACTGCGATACGTGTTGTGGAGATTTGTCGCAGCAATTATAGTGAGCTAATATTTGCTCGTATCTGTTGACTTTGTGTAGGAATGGATTGTAATTTAAAATCATTATTTGGCTTAATCGTCCATTTTTAGCGCAAACAATATTTAAAAAAAGCAATATTAAACTGTTTATTAAAAAATATTATAATTTTTATATGTATATGTGTATATATATATATATTTATATATTTACATATATTTATATATTTACATATATACATACAAATTAGATAAAATTAGAAAGGAGAGAGTTTTAGGAAAGTTAAATTACATGATTAAAGTTAACCGAATGGTAGAAGCGGCCGTTGGGTATAGATACGCTTCGTTACAGCGGTTGTGTATAATGTACCTGAAACAATGGCACGAAAATAGCGTCGCACAGCCGAACGCGTTGAAGCAATGAAAGAGCTTAAATTTATCTCTTTCGCATTCAAAAACTATCATCTTTACCATTTGGCCGTTTACGAAAATACGTATTGTTTTAATAGAAAATGCGCGTCATCAGTCAAAGAATGTCTTTCACTAAACATTTCTTTTGAACTGAGGATTCAGGAAGATCGGAAATTTAATTTCTTTTTAAAGAAAATTCTTTGTTTTTAATCGCTTATAATTTAATAAAAGCTGTGGGTATCTTGACGTTTCTATAAAGAAAAAATCGGCCCAAAAATTGGCAACAGGAAATGGTTTGAGGAAAATAAAATGATCATGGGATCTTCCAAGTTTATCTATTTCTGCCCTGCCGTCCGTTATCTCTTGTATCAGGAAGAGGACGAACCATTCCGCGCTATACGCGACGACAATTTAAGGGTTGCGGATGTGTAGCGCGTGAATTGGGTCGAGAATAGCTAATGTCTGTCGCTGTGCTTTGGATAATTTTCCTGAGCATACGTTGTTCGTTATGAGTCACTTCCGCAGCTGTGTAAACGAGAAATCGATTCCACGAGCATGTGCCGAAGGATCGTTCACATCTGCGGCGAAACTATGGCAATATTTACCCGACATCGTAATATAAGGATTTCATGTGTTTCTTTTGTGAGCAAATGTGTACATTTTTAGTATGATGTGAATATTAGAGATATTACTGTGTAAAATATATGTTGTTCAAAATTTTATTGATAGAGTTACTTCTAATCAAGCGTGTTTGAAGCTGAACTTGAAGCATGATTAAAAGAAAAGACTATGTTTTTCACCAATCTGATTTTTAAATGCATCGCGCACGCGTTTGCCAAGAAACCTAAATAAAGGGCTACAGTGATTTTATCTCTTGCTTTTTAAGGACGTAATCATTAACGTTAATGACAAATTAATCTAACCGCGAGTAATCACGAAGGTGTACGATACTTAACCTACGTTCACAAACGCATTTATTATTTATTATCGCGCTCCAATTATCTTCACTTACACGATGAATGACGATATCCTCTCCGCATGGCATTTCAATATGCATTACACACGCATATGCGCACCCTATGTAACGATCGTATCCCTTACTATATAGCTTCAAACCGACTTGTTTGCAACGTATCTCGGGCGGTTCAAAGCGCCAAGTAATTGTACTCATTTTAATAACGAAGGATAAATACTAAACTGCAAACACACGCACGCGCATGCATAACGTATAGGTATGTCGGCAGGGCACAATTCCAGGTTCGTTTACAGCAATACACGTTTAACGGCAGTACGCAGTCTCACCATAAAAACAAAATAAAAAAAGAAACATTTATATCGCGTGAAGCACGCACGACGCGCCCGCCTCGTTTTTTATTCGATATTATGTGTGTGCCGACTTTGCGGAAAATGCTGACCTCGTGATACCGACGTGACCGTTTATAGAACATGGGTATGGAATTATTAATAATGCACCGCAGGTGTACCTACATGCGGTGAGCAACGTCGAATCGTCGTGTCATTATATGTGTGATATTAAATTTTAAGAAATTATCGCGCCGTTCCGCCAAATGAGAAAATTCCATAATCGAGTTGTATTTAATTGGAGTATTTAATTGAAAAAATAATTATTTTAATGGTATATATGTATAAGCAAATAGTCGTACAAATTTGCTTGCGTAATTTTAGTTCCTTCTATCTTTAAATACAGGATATGGAAAATGATATTTTCTCTTCCTCTCTCTGTTTCTTTTTTTAAAATCGATATTTTCATTGTTAGCTTACAACTAACAAGAATGAATACAAGTTTCATAACAGATTTCCGTTAATATAAAGACACCCGGGTAATCATACAAAAAATAAAATAGAATGCATCTTATAGAATCATAGTCTAAATGATAAATATATGATAAAAATGATAATGTATCTTTTTTAAAGTTTTTATGTATATATTTTGATTTTCGTCGAAGCTGAATGGCTATACGTAAAAAAAAAAATCGTGAGAAATTTGTGTCGCGCTTTTAATAAATAGATACTCGGCTCCGTGGACGTGAAAGGGAGGTAAGAAAAATATGCATCTCTCCAGCGAGATTAATCGTCGCTCTCCATCAAACAAGAATTCTCGCCTGACATTCTTCAACCCTTTTACGCCGCGAGCGTTCCGGTGGCCACGCAAGCGCTACGCACTTGCCGGGGATATTCAAAGAGCAAAGAGGGTCTTTCGTTCATCCTCGTGTGTATTGTTCTTCTTGGATCAGTTACTGTCGCAGTACGTGTAAAGGTTAATACCTTGTCGCGGACATGGGGACGGGGACGCAGAAGGGTTAGGAAAAGAGATTGGGTGTCTAGACACCTCTATTCGCTAGCTAGACTAGTGCCCCCGGGAGGTTGCGAGCTGCGTGGATTGACTGTAACCATAGATTGCCTGTTACGTGCCACCCGCGAGCGTTTACACTCGTCGTCTGTCGCACACATGAGCGCTATTATCTAGGTGATAGTTTTAAACATGCTGGTGCCACGGGCTTTTGCTAGTATGAACAACAAAAAACGATTGTAATTGCTTTTATTTCCTGCGGAATTTCCGCATTGTGAAATTTTCACTATATATATATATATATATATATATA